GTGGCATGATTAGGTTAAGATGAATCCAACGACATATGATAACATCATCTTCATATGATCTTGAAGTGCGAAGCATACGTGAAAACTAGGTAACTGATGAATGAAGTTAAATAACTAATGGGAAAATTAATGGTGAAAATTTTATAGGGAATTTGAAAGTTAAAACACTAGGAAAGAAGGAAATTACTAAAGGTAGAAAATGAAATTTGAAATTGGGAAAATAGGGAATTGAGGAATTGGGGAATTGGGGAATTGGAAAATTGGGAAATTCAGAAATAAGGAAATTTGTAAATTAGGAAATGAGGAAATGAGGAAATGAGGAAATGAGGAAATGAGGAAATTAGGAAATTAGTAAATTAGGAAATTAGGAAATTAGGAAATTAGGAAATTAGGAAATGGGGAAATTAGGAAATTAGGAAATTAGGAAATTAGGAAATTAGGAAATTAGGAAATTCAGAAATAAGGAAATTAGTAAATTAGGAAATGACGAAATTAGGAAATTAGGAAAAGAGAAAACCAGAAAATCACAAACTGAGAAAACTAAATAACCAAAAAATTATTAAATTAGAAATTGGAAGTCTCACTTCAATTTGTGAATTTAAATTTATTTTAACCCCTTAAAAAATAAAAACTGCAGAAATTAAAAAGTTCCTAAACTTGAGAACTTATGTATTAAAAAGCTTCAAAAACATTGTGCATATTATTCGTAATTTCAAATTAATATGAACGATGACATTTCAATGAAGTACTCGTAAATAATTAATATATTACTAAAGGTTAATCATGCATCGTAATAACCTTGCAGTGTATATATTTTTGTTTAATAATTGCTTACTGACACGATCTGATATTATCATTTGACATTTCCTTTAGTAAATTTTACACTTAACGACATTCGACATGAAATTCGTTTGCTTTCGATATTTATTTACGTACTTAATTAAACGTACATTTTAGTGAAAAATATTTATTCAATTTTTACAATTATTTTCTTAAGTTACTATAGTTGATAAAGTATTAAAAACTTAAGACCACAATAAATACTTTATTTATTATTATTAATAGAATAATAATATTTAGAATATATAATAATAATAAAATAATATATAATAATATTTAAAACAATATTAATAGAATAATAACGTTAAAAATAATAAATAAAAAATTGTTTGTAGTAAAGTCAAACTAGGTTAAACTACAGAATATTAAGGATTCAACAGTATGCAAGGTTTGGCGCCAAAAATTTGAAATGTCTTACCGCTAATTGAACTATTTAACACTGTTCTCTATTATTTATTTACATAGAATGTTCTAAACCATAGATTTTTATAAAGAAAAATATATAATTTCATTTATTAAACAGAAAAATTTCTGTAAAATCTTAAAGATATTTGAATATCTATTTGCATCATAAGATGTTCTTCTTGAAGTAAAATAATTTCAAATAGAATGACTTCAAATAAAATAACCTCAAGCAGAATAATTTCAAACACAATAAATTCAAATAGAATAATTTAAAGCACAATAACTACAGAATAACTTCAAATATAATCACCTCAAGTAAAATAACTACACATATAATAATTTCAAACAGAATTAATTCAAATAGAATAACCTTAAATAAAATAATTTAAAATACAGTAACTGCAGGCAGAATAACGTCGAATAAAATAACCGCAAGTAGAATAATTTTAAACATAATAATTTCAAACAGTATAAATTCAAATAGAATAATTTAAAATACAATAACAGTAAACAGAATAATTTCAAATAAAATAACCTCAACGAGAATAACTTCAAGTGAAATAACCTCAAAATAATTTGAATATAAAAACCTGTTTAAAAAATGATTATGTCGAACCATGATCGCATGAGTAGATTAAAATAGGACACCATGTATATCCTTCTGGAATAATGCGTTTTACAAGGCAGTTTTCCCGAAGGTCTGTTAAATCGCTGGTTATATACCTACTGCAAGCTTAACAATACAAAGAAACAGGGCACTCTGGATGGTAATTCTGTAAGTGGTGGGGACAGGTACAAACAGAGTTTGCTGATATTATTCGTAAACAGTACCGAACTCATCTGTTAGAACTCGTGACGATTCTAACAGCAAAAGAAATTTCTCTATTAAAATTTCATTTGTGTTGTATGTTTCATTCTATGATTGAAATACGTCGCATTCATATAATAAGGTTCAAACACAAATTATTAGCAAATTTTGTTGATTTTGATATTTTTAAGGTTAAATAAATATTTTAAACTTTTAGTCAATTTTCATGTATCATGTTCTAAAATTAGATATATTGTATTTATAACTTTTACATTTTTATTTGCAGTTTTATTTTCATTGGCAATTTTACATTTTTTATTTTATTTGCAAAAGTTTTTTGTTCTTACAAAATATTACCAGCAATTTTTGTTGAAAAAATTTCTTGTAGAATATTTATTTTCCTATAAAAATGTTATTATCAGATTTATGAAAAATATTTTTATAAATGTACAGAACAAAGTTTTTCACTGTGTATTAAATACATACATTTTTCTTAATGGTTTTGGTTAAAAATTTTGTACTGCAAAATCCAAAACAGTTAGGGACAAAGGAAATGGTAATAAATAATATAAAAGTAAACAATAAAATATACACATTTTATGTACAGAATATAAGGATGTCTATTTTGAATATTGTAAGTTAAAAATATTAACAAAAATATTTCTGTTAAATTAAGTATGTATATTTGTAATATTATAACTCTTAATATTTATTTCATACAATATTTTATACTATAAAATATAGAAAATAAAAAATTTGTATACATTATAAATTTGTATAAAATATAAAAAATTATTTGTAAAGAATATAAAAAGTATTATGTTGTAAAATAATGAAACAGCAAAGGAAATGATCAGTATTGCTTTCTTCTGGCTACAACTCTGATTGCCACTAATATAAATTCGACCCTTCAATTGTTAGAAAAATTCTTCCATAAAGCACAATAAAGTTGGTAATTGTAAGAAACCAATAAATGTTTATGGGTAAAGGCCTGCATGGGTTAATTACTTTCCATAATACCTGCAGGTACAAATCTGAATCCTTTATTCATTTATAGATATTCCTACAATATATCCTCTATTTTATTTAGCACAGCTTTGTCAAATTTCAAAATTTCCAAAATTCAAAATTTTTAAATTCTCTTCCATTAATCATTATATTAATTAATAATACAACTGTATTAATAATTACACTATTTTATGTGTATTACGTATCACTATAATTCTAAAACGAAAGAAACACAAATAAAAAGCATGTAAAAATAAATAACGTAGAACGGAAGCTCACGTGACACGTCTGTCTGCGCCGGAAGTGAAGGAATTTCAACAATTTTACGCCCGTTTCCACTTTCTTAAATGAAACTATACATTTCTTCCTGCGAAACGATTCCTTGAAATATTTTACGTAAAAAAGTATTACGGTGCAATGTTAGCAAAATTAGTATTTTATGAGATATTTAAAAATTTATGTATGATCTGTTTTGTCTATTTTCGTGTGACATCCTGTACAGCGAGGTTAATAAACAACTGGTATTATGGCCTAAAATTATTAAATAAATATTTGAGGAGTGATAGTATAAATTACGTTGGATTAATATTTTTGCTTATTTCTTCTTCTGCGACAGCGGCGACATATTGCACACCGAGTACATGACCCAACTCACACAAAGATATCCTATTTAAGGAAAAAGGAAGCAATTTTACTCGAAACTTCCACGAAAATACCAGGTGCAGATGTTTACCGGAGACTATTGTGCTCAAATTTTGCCTGGTACATTTATGGGGTGTAGTTTCGAAGGTCACTTGAAAATTTCTTACTTGTTATTTCTGACCACGAACAAGAAATCATAAACTTTGTCGGGGGAAAATCTCTACTGCGCTAAATAAAAAAGGCAATAAAGGAGGGTAAGGTAAAATTTCCATATAAAACACGTTTAAGAATAATTGAAAAGAAGTCAGAGGTCTTATTGAAAAATTCCTAAATTCATATTAATCATATGAAAAATGATTAATAATAATTAAAATTTGATTATAAAGTAATCAAAATATAACCTATTTTTTAAATTTAGGAACCACCCTAATATGCGGAATCTTTAGTTTCCTCTCACGCTTCAACTTTTATAAAAATCTGTTACTTCATAACCAATAATTATTATTTTATTACTGTAAATAAAATTTTTTTCAAATATAACTTCCTAATTGTATTAATTATTATTAATTATAATTTTTTTTGTAGCAACGTTTGTCAGTAGAAAAATAAAAATCTTCCTGTTACTCTTGATAACTTTTAAATATATTCATTGAGTATGCTGTAATATTTTTAGCATTGCTATTATATAAGTATTTATTATATCAATTTTGTACAATCTTGTATTAATTCATACAGCATTAACCGCAAAAAAGTTGTATTATTTAGCATTTCTTATTTATACTTTTTATTAGTTTTATATTTTTATCCCTATTTCGGTCCGATTTCATTTCTCTAGTTTCTTCTTTTATTGGCGATTGGTATGTTGTTTTTTGCTACAAACAGTCGATTAGAACTAAAATAATTTTCCTATATTGCAGTGTTTACATCCGTTTTGTTTATTCGACATGAACTAAGATTTGTAGAATGAAAAACACGTGTTTTTATAGAATAATAAAATGTAATGAGGTTATTTATTTATTATGCGCAATAAATAAAATAATATATTTGTATTCTTTGTGACCTATAATTTAAATGAATAAAATAATTATTTTAGAATTAAATTGTATTTTATATTAATTCATATATTTATTATGAAATATTGAAAATTTAAAATTCTTCAAATTAATTACAGTATGTAATTATGTATTAAATTTTACAATATTATTGAACTAAATTTCTGTATTTATTATTATTATTATTATTAGTAGTAGTAGTAGTTTATTTCTGTTCTTTTATTAATAAATATTATCTTCTAAGACATCTTAGCAAATATATATTTCATTAAGCATAATTGTTTCTGTATGATGCAATTTTATCTATAAAAGACAGTTGATTTAACTGTTGTAACATGTTCAATAAAATAAAAGCAAAACTATATATAATGAATATTTAAAAAATATTCTCTTACGACAAAAGATTGATATACTTGTACCTAAAGTAGCTATGGAACACTGTGAAAAAATGGAAACTTCGGAACAACCTGTTGTGGTAATTTTCAACATGAATTTTAACATTTCATAAATAAACTTTTATATTAGAATAATGTCTATTATTTAATATTTCAGTCAATGTCAATGTCAATTGAAGATCTATCAGAATCGCAGGAAACAGTAGGTATACTAATCAAGTCACAAAATTCACCCCAAAATGAAATGGCAGATAAAACATTCAAAGAACAAACTGTAGAAGAATTACAAAAAAAAGATAATAATGAAGATTCATTAGATGTAACCAAGGATAATAAATGTATAGAAGATACAGAAATATCAGTCTCTTCTAGTTTGCTCTATTATAATTGGTCTAATGCACCAAAATTATTGTGTGAAGCAACGAAAGAATTTCAACCTACGGAATTATATGAAAATTTTACAAAAGGCTGTCAGTGGTCTCCTGATGGAACATGTTTATTAGTACCTTCTGAAGATTTTAGAATTCGAATTTATGAACTTCCTAGAGAATTATATTCACAGAAAATTCCCCCAACTTTGACATCTACAAATTTACCAGTAGCATTAACTATAAAAGAAGGAGGACTTATATATGACACTTGTTGGTATCCTTTTATGAATTCCTGGGATCCGACAACTTGTTGCTTTTTGAGTACAAGTAGAGAAAGCCCTATACACTTATGGGATGCTTTTAATGGCGAACTAAGAGCAACGTACCGAGCTTACAATCAGTTAGTAATTGTCTCATATATTTATAAATTTCATTAATAGTATGCTGAATATACATTTAATTAAATTATATTTATTTCATTTTTATTAGAGTTGATGAGGTTGAATCTTCAATTAGTGTTCAGTTTATTGACTCAGCTAGAGAGGTCTGGGCTGGTTTTAAAAATGCACTAAAAACTTTTGATGTAGAACGTCCAGGTCGTCAAATAAATACTATTCAGTTTAAAACAGATTTTCCAAATGTAACAGGATTGGTCTCTTGTATACGAGAAAATCCTATTATGCCTGGACTAGTTGCATTTGGAACATATTCTAAATGCATTGGTAAATATATAATATTAAATAATATATATTTATGAATGTATTAGGAATTGTTATTAATATTATTTATTAGGTTTATATAGAGATGGACCTCTATGTACTTTTAAAACAGGAAGTGGTGTAACACAAATCGAATTCAGCTCTTGTGGAACAAAATTATTTTCAGCTGTTAGACGTAGTAATGAATTTCTATGTTGGGACCTTCGCAACCCAGGCACTATACTCTATTCCCTTCAAGGGCGACAGTCTGACACGAACCAAAGAATACAATTTAATGTGTCATTCGATGGAAAGCAAATAATCTCTGGTATGTTAATGAGTAATTATATGATAAAGTAACATAAACTACTTAGAGTATTTATTTTTTCTTAGGTGGTACAGATGGATACATTGCAGTTTGGGAATTGCCAGAAGACATAAATTATGAAGATCTTAACACAATGTACAAAATAAAGCTATCTAATGATTGCATAAATGGAATAAGTGTACATAAGAGTTTGCCAATACTTGCTACAAGTACAGGACAAAGACTTTGTGATAACACAATACAAAACAGAGACAATAGTGTTAGATTATGGTGCTTTTCTTGATTATAATTTACATATATGATAAATTATTATAAATGTAAATATATGTATGTTATTTTACAATTTATAAATAAATTATTAATACTCTTTAGTAAAGCATTTTCTAGTGCTTTTATATGTGATATTAATTCTAAAAATGAAAGAATACATGTATATTATATAAGGGAATGTATATTTTTATTTAATAAATGTTCGAAAGATATAGTTTTTAAACCTAACAATTTATATACACAAATATTTCATGTTGACATAAATAAACATTTTTTAAAATTTCAAATTTAAACTTTCAATTTGATAAATACTGAAATATATGAAAAATTAGGGTCTTATATCGTGTGTTTGTACTTTTTTTAATTTTATCTTCTATTTTATTAGTAAAGAAGAAATAAAAGATCAAAATTAGTGCTTTCAGGACCTCCTGAAATGTGCTAAGTTTGAACCAGTTAGAGCAAATCGGTGTTCCGAAGGCCGAGCATTCCCCTCGTTAGTACTTTTATTCTAGTTACATTAGTATTTCACAATTTAGTGCAATATTTATGCAATATATAGGTAGGGATGTATGATTTCGCGCGCGCAAATAATACACGATACATAATTTTAGCAGATACCTGTATTTTCCACAAGATATCGTACCATTGTTAAAACATTTTCAATAAATTAAGTACACGATCGAATTATAAGTACTTTATTTCGTGTAATTAACATTATCATTAAATCAAAAATGGCGCAAATTTATTGTAAACGGTATTTGAAGTTATGCGTATACTTTGCAAACTCGCCGAATATGTGAAGCGTTAAGCTGTTGTATTCCCAGTTGTGTCCCTTTTCAAAAACAAATGGGTTTTTGTTAGTTGCGTTCTGGATCAGAGCGCGAACGAAGCGGGAACGAAAACGAAAAGAAAAAAAGGAGAAAAAGTAAACAGAGAAATGAGGAAGGAACTGAAGTAGATAGTGCGTGATAATATGTGCTATGTATTAATGCGTACTAATGCTTAACAATTGTGACTACAACCTGTTTTCTTGACTATTTATAGGGGATAATTGAAAGTATCGAATGACTCAAAAAAAAAAAGTATTCGTAAAAGAAATCAGTAAATGATTCTGTCTGTATGTACATGTAAAATATTAACAAGAGTGTAGAAAATTTGATCATAACTTCAATATTTTTCTGCGGAAACCTTCGTGGATTCATTTGCGATGCGATGAACGAGATTTTATTGTTGTAAAATCTTTAAGAAACATAGATCGGTAGAATGGCTTCTAACATGCAGTCTTTCCAGCGAATGTTAAAAATGCTGCGGGAAAACAGCAGCAGCAGGGAAAAACGTGAAGCTTTAACCTATATTCGCAGGTAATGTTAATTTTTTGTTTACAGGTTTATATATTCATGTTATCCCCAAATTATTCAATAAAACACATAGTTTTATTGTATCAAATGGACTACGTGATTTTCCAGTTTGTATACTTCTTAGTCACTTGCGTTGACATTGCTTCAGAAATTTGTCATCGATTATAATTATCTGGCTATTAATGTCAGACTGTTCAACAATGCAGTATTTTGTACAATGAAAATTTTTCTTTACAATATAACAGTATGCGAAACAGAACCTAAGAAATTTGATGCTAATGACAATATGTATACAGGGTATCTGAGGTTTCTGTATACAAACTTTGACAGTATGTTTGATAGATAAAGATAAGACTAAAATGTCATGTAACGAAAAGTTTGCAATTGCTTCGCTACAGTTATAACAAAAGTATGAAATATAAAAGATATGATTTTTATTAATATAACACATTCATAAGGCAAACATTCAGAAGCATAGTTATTAGAAGCATCATTGTGTTTCAAGCATGATAGATGTTAACTAAATTCAGGGAATGACTTAATTTATTATGTAATATTTCTAAAAGAATTTGATGACATCAGCTATATTCAAATGATGAAATGTGCATTTTTTATGACTTGAAATTTTGTAGAGACTTTAAAGGAGATTCATGGTTTCAGGAGATTTATGCTAGCTGTGAATCCATTATGATTATATAGGTTCAGAGAGGGAAACTTAAATGTGTGATTATTGTGACACTAAATTATGATATTGCTATTTCATTAAAATATTTTTATAAATGTGTAATAACTAATTGCTACCAAAGTAATTATTTTATACTATTATCCAAATTTCTGCTTTGCTGGTTTTGTCTTAATTTACAAAAAGTAAAAAGTAAAAGAATGCAAATTTTTATGTGAAAATTACATGTGCATATTTCATATGAAATTTCCTAAAGTTATGTTCTTAGTTCTTTTTTTCTATTTATACCTATTATGAAATTACTTTAGATCAAAAAATTTCTTGATAATTTCTTGATAAACTTTCTTTTCTACAAAAGAAACAGGTAGCATTACCAAATATAGACATAGGAGTAACATCTACATTGCATTTCATTTTTTGTTACATCTTTTGCAACAAATCATTTATGAACTTCTTTATCATAGTTTAGTTTTATTTTATGTAAAATACATTAACAAAGTTTTTATGAAAAAACCTAGGATACTCTGATAAATAAAAAACAGTTTTGTAGTAATGATATTTTATTTTAGCAACAGCAAAAAGTTACAGTCTGCAGGAATTGTTAAAGAGGAACAATGCAAAGAATTATGTAAATTAGTTATAGAAGCATTTGCAAATGGAAACAATGATGTACAGAATGAGGCTTATGGAACATTAAATGTCATTATTCAGGACTTCAAAGAGCACACTCTGAACTTATTTGAAGTCATGTCACAGATAAATGAAAAAAATAGGTTTGTGTATTTGTTTAAAACAATATTTAAATTTTTATTAATCATGACATATATTGAACACAGCGTTATTGTCAAAATAAAGCTAATATTGAACACAGATAAACATGTTACTAATTTATTTATTAAATGTTTAATAACATTTATTTTGTTATAATGTTACTGTTACATTGAAATGAAGTCATATTTTAAAAGTTTATCATAATTTTAGATTAAAAATACTTAAGTTATTAGAAATAATTGAGGACAATGCTATCTCAATGATTGCTAATGATCCGCATGCTGTACAGTTTTTCACTGATTGTATGTCTACAATACAAACAAATAAAATGCCTTGGATAGCATCGACTGCATGTGTAGATAATCTTAAAGCATTAATAGATGCTGAAAATAAACCATTATCAGATGACCAAAGACTAGAAGAAGAAACAGTTAATTATTGTATAATTTTGTTAAGGCGATTGTATAAACTTGCTGCAATAACATCAGATACCAATGTTGAAAAGGTATACTTAGTAAAGCTTACAATCTTTAAAAAAGAAGAATATAAACATTCAAGTATTAAACTGTGTATTTTTTCAGTTTGATGCTTTATTATTGGATAAAGTAATGTTATTAGCATATATGGGACATAAGCGGCAACGTGGCGCTGCTTTAAAACTTTTACAGCAATCTCTTGCTACAAATATACTTTCACATATTCGTACCAAATTAGCAAATGCATGGGTTCAATATAAATCGGCATTGCAAACTACGTATTGCAAGCGTATGTTACTTTTGGTATCCGCGTGCGAACTAGATTGGGCTATACAATGGAATATCAGTATTCAATTCCTTGGTGTTGACCTCCATAAAGGCGCCGGTTTAATAAATGATTTACTGAGTATCGAAGAAAAAGCATTTAAATCTACAGACACAATTACACGCAGGTATAAACAAAAATTGTATCAGTGTTGATATTAAGCAACAGAAATCGATAACGGCGTAACATTTTGTATTTTAGACAAGCCTTTCTTTCATGGAAGTTGCTGGTGGATAATTTTGCTCTAGACCCACAAGAACTTGCTACTGCAAGGAGGATAAAGTTATTATGTATTCCATTAAGTGCAAAAAATAGTAAAACCGAATTGATAGCAATAACGAAACTAGAAGTTTGGTGGCACGTAATCATTAAACTTTATAAAGACATTGTCAAATTTGTTAATCCTGTCCTCACACAGTTCTTAAATTTTTGTTTTGGACCTCTGGGAGATACACCATTATTATCTTCAAAATGTGATATAATAGTTTCACCAGGGAAAAGGTTTTATAAAACAAAAGTTATTGCAGTGGATGCTTTATGTCAACTTCTTGTTACCAAACAATTGAATCACAATGTCTTTTCTCCTATTTTGGAAGAAAGACTCCCGCATTCTATGACTGATGCTGTCTTCCAAGAGTGTTATAAAAGTATAATTCATAGTGTAGGAGAAGCCTTGCTTGTTCTCAGCCAACTTACTGATGCAGAGATGAAAAACAGATATCAGCTTGGTAAAATATTATGGACAAATTTAATCAATTATGTACAAGAATCAAAAATGGAAAACAAAGTTAGCATCTTTTTGTTTAATGAGAATATTTGAGACACATAAAAATCGTATGTTCTAAAATAATTGTTTAATAACATTACCTTCTAGGAGAATATGTACAAAGATATAATAACAGTTATTGCAGAATTGGCAAATTATGCCGAGAGTAAGGCCATGATTAGACAGTTAATTCTTGACATAATTTTGTTCGAAATTACTGATCTCAGTAAAGAATTTAACTTAAAAGAAGATATATTATCAGTATTGTTGTTCAAACTGCTGCAAATTTCAATACTAAGTCGTGCTGAAAAGTAAGTATAACTAAACTTTTTTTAATGATTTTTTTTTCTTAAATAACAAATGAAAAAGTAATGTGAAAATGTTTATAATATTACTGTACATACTGAATAAGTTTTAGAGTGTAATTTTATTAACAAATTTCTTATAAATATCACAAAGAATATACAATTACAAGAGTACATTTTAAATTCTATGAAATGTGCAACCAATAAAGTGGTTAGATACATTAGATACATTAAATTAAGACTAAAATTGAAGTTACACAAAGTATATAGAATTTCTTTTTAAAGGGAGCATTACAATGCAATCAAATCTCTTTTGAGGCATTGCATCAAATCTTCAAAGGAAAATGTGTATTACCCACATGCATTCAAATGCTTAAAAGAAATGTATCATAAATTACATACATTACAGAATGGACAATGTAAGAATGAGTAAGTAAATTAAACAGCAGAAAATAATGATAGATCTTAACAGTATAAAAATCTTGGTATTTCGTATGTTACATTATTACTTAAGATTATTGTAACTTTTAGATCTGTTATTCGTGAGTTATGGGTTGTTTTAGTAGACGTGTTAATATCATACATGGATGATTTACAAGAAATTAACGAAGGTACCACTACACAGCATAATTTAACAACTGTTGAATCGATTGTAATGTTCCCATTCATGTACATGTGCATAGAGGACCAGAACCAGGTTAATTTTTTAATATAAAGTATACGCCTGTAACTACTATAATTATAAACGTCTTTAACTTAGTCTTTATACTTCTACCAGATACAAGAAGTAACGAAAACTTGGAAACGTTTATGTAAACATTTGGAAATGCGAGTAGATCTCATAGAAAGCATAAAAACTAATGAGATTTTAATGAACATTGCGACCACCATGCAACGTTGTTTGGTGAAAAATGAAAAGTCTTATCATCTTATTATAAGTTCTTTGGATAATTTGCTAAGTTCTATTGACTACAAACTTCTACTAGGTACGTCAACAGAAAATATTAATATCAGTATGAAAAGGAAGTATTCAAATTTTAAATAATATTTCAGCACATACAGAAGTTCCTGCTGTTATGAATCTGCTTGTGAGTCTTGTAATTTATTTTCTATCTAACCAACTTATTAAGGAATCTGATGCTGCTCTCAAAGCTTTGTCAGCAGTACTTATTACAATTTATGGGCACAGTCTAAAAAAAATAGTACCATATTTGCTAGCTTGTCAACCAGCAATTGAACTTATGCTAGCAACTGAAATAGAGGCATTATATGGCGAGGTATATATGCTTATATTTTAAATACTTCATTTTATTTATAATGAAAATAATTGCGGAATGCTATAATATTTAATTCTTTATTTACAGATAGCAAGCACGTGGGAGTCTATAATCAGTATCCTCAAAGGACTCGGTAAATTATGTGATCAGAACCTCATTTCTTGTTATAAAAAAATAATTACTCTAGCTTTGAATCATCCGAATGTCGATGTACGAGAGCAAACAATGTCTCTGTTTGAACTGAAAGATATATTGAACAGTAGCACCAAATTAATATTAGAAGAAATAGAGAAGACAGAAAATGAAATTAAATTAATCACGTCTGACGTTCCAACAAAAACAAATGATATCATTGAAGAAACACAAAACGAGAAAGCAGATGATACGTGCTTAGAAGAACCCGGTAGCCCAAAAGACGCACCTAAAGAAATCGAGGATTACGTTTTTATTAAGACGGACTTTAAATTTGACGTTGATCGTTTAACAGAACATCAGAAGGAATCTTTAAAACGCAAGCGGGAAGATATCCCAGCGTTATACAATGATCTGTCACAATCCTGCTCGCAAGATACGCAGAATTTACAAGAATGGTTTAACAGGAAAAATAAAGCTGCAGAGAGTATGGAGACAGAACCTGACAAAAATGATAATGTTTTGACTGAAAAAATAGCGGATAACGAAGCAAATAAAGAAAATGAAGTTGAAGTTAAGTCACAAACGGTTAAAGAGGCTGTTGAGACTGATACAAAATCAGCGGAAACTGATGGACAGATCGCGTCATCAGAGTCTGCGCAAGTAAACGGTGATGTAAACAGTGGCGAAAACTCATTAGAAGACGAAACAAAAGGAACAAAAGAAGCTAACGAAGATTTAGAAGCCAACACTACAAAAGACTGTGAAATAAATACTTTTAATTTTAATACTCAAGAGGAATCTCCTGCGGGTAAAGATAGTGGCACTTTATCCCCGTCTATGTTGAAAAGTGGTAAACGACATGAGCGTCCAAGTAAACCGTGCGTTTCGCAAAAATTAGACGAAATCGTTAGTAGTCAATCAGAACAGCCAAGCCCTAATCAAACTTTACAAACAAGGTTACGAATGAAAACAGTGCAGTGTAAGTCTGATGCAGATAACAAACAAAACGCATTAGACGATATGGAAAATAAATCGCTTAAAAGCGAGAAAAGAGGTGTCAAACGTAAATCAGCTTCAGATAGCGAGAGTGAAAAAAGTAGTTTACGGCAACGAAGGAAAACTAGTATACCAGAAATTAGTAGCGACACTGACAGTTGCAAATCTACGGAAAGTGATACTACTAATACGGCTCTACGCGGGGAAGAAATAAACGAGAAGAGGAATGTGAGTCAACGTACGAAAAACGAAATATCTCGACTGCGTATAAATATGGTATTTGACAGTCCTCTGCCAAATAGCCGACGATCTAAAGGTGACAAAGAAGATGACAAAAAACCTAGAAAGATAGAAAATAGAGGTGGTCGAGGCAGAGGCAGAAGAAAAGTGAAGAGGTTAGACAGGAATAGTGAATTGAAGAAAATTGAAGATACAAAAAGTACTTTCCGAAGAAAGAGAAATTCGCTGGATAAGGTGCATAAAATAAAGATTGATAAAGGCGAAAATACCCCAGAGAAACCGGCGACTAGTACATCAGATCCTAATGTCACTTTGCCTGATACTGAAGAACCTGATAAAACTGAAGCTGTACCTACTGAAAATCCATCAGATGAAAAGCAAGCTACAGTTGAGACGAGTGAACAACTGGTTGAAATAAAAGAAGAAGTTATTTTGAATGACCAAAACGATAAACCAGCTGCAGAACAATTTGAAACCCAAGATGACATGGAGGACATAATAGAAAGTTCTCAGCAAGTGTCAGAATTAGAAAAGAAATCTAATGAGAAACCTAGTGCTGTTAAAGTGAATAGCGTTGAGGAAGCTGTGTGTGCTGAAGATAAAAAGGTAGAAAATGTTTCAAACAATTGTGACAATGCAAGTACTGAGGTTTCCAAAAGTAATGTTAAGGAACCTGAAGAAACCAGCAGTGTCAAGGTAAATGAATTAAATGTTTCAACTCCTGTTCCTGAAAAAAGTTCAGGTAATGAAAAACAAGATGCAACCGAAACACAAAAATCTAGTGAAGGTTCATCGTTTAAAACTGTCATTGAGTTTACATCACCCAAAACTAATGCAAAAGGCCAGCTGAAATTCAAAACTTACTCAGGACAGGGTCGTGCAGCTCACATGTTGGGATTAGTAACGAAGCAGGCAAGAATAGAAGCTGGGTGCCAGATTATAACAATAGACGATGAGTCTGTGCTTAAAAAGATTAAACTAAAAGATACTGATAATGAAACACCCAGCAAGAAGTTCACGCTTAAAGACGTTGACAAAGTAACATGTAGTAGTAGACAGGAGAAGATCTTCAATAATATGAAATCGTCAGATTATTGTCCATCGCCTCCAATTAAATTATTTTCTAATTTGAAAAATGACGGGGAAAAGATATTTCCGAAAGCAGATAAATCGACGGAGTATATATCGATACACACGGACGCACAAGCTGAAAAGGGTGAAGAGACTACGGTCGAAATGGATGAATTGCCAATTTTAGAATGGTCAAGTGCAAATCCACCTTCGCTGACAGCTTCTCCAAGTGTTAGTATACTTAAACGACGACAATCTATGCCAGAACCTGATCCGGAGAGCACAACGCCAAGCAAGGTAATTTGTTACATACTTAATTTAAATAAAATTTATAGTGTTAACGTCAAAGTAGTTTACGTACAATATTTTTGAAATTATTATCAAATGTTAAATGTATACAATTTCTTTTCTTTTATTTATGCAAAGAAAGTAACTACTCTTTCACAGCTCAGTATTTGTTTAACAAATTTGTTTAACAAAACATTTGTTTAGTTAACAATTAAACATTTTTCTATTTAATTAGTTTTTTAAGTAATTACAAAGTTATAGTAGATGTAATTTTAATTTAAATACTGTTGTTATTGAATTGTAGTTTTTAAATTAATTTTTAATACAAACAATTTTGTATTTGACATATGTTTTCAGTACAATAACTTATATTTGATTACAGAGAAAAAGAGTAAGTTTCGCAGATCCTCCAGTTTCAAAGGAAATGGGATATGAGATTACGTCTAATGATTCTGTGCAAAAGACTAATAAGTTTGTCTCGAGAGGAATGTTCGGACGTAAAGATACACCGTTAAGATTAAAGCCGATTAAGAAATTGATAAGTATCGATGCAGATAGAATGGATAAAGATGAAGAGTCGGATATGATAAATATGTCCGAAATTGATTTGCAGTGTGAAAAAGAAAATGAGCTGTTGACAAAGATGGCCGAAGAATTGGAATATTCAGAAAATGACACGATAAATACCGATGTTCAGATACCGTTTACTGCTAGAGAAAATGAACTAACAAATACTGTTTCTGTTGAAGTTAATGGATCTAATAAAATTAAAATCGATAACTTAAATACTGAATTTGAAATTTCGCAAGATTCGACATTTTCTAAGAATGCAATCTCAACGTCTGTAAATAAAGTAGAGAAAAATAAAGTAAATCAGGTACTAGATGCATCGGGTAGTTCTAACGTCAGTTTAGAAAAGACTGAACTCAACGAGTCGGTTACTCAGGATGATATATTTAACGGAACAGATGTAAAGCATAATATTACCGAAAACAGTGTTGATAGTAGCCTAAATGATACGCAGAATATTTCTATTCAAAATAGTTCATTAGGTTCTCTTAAGCTTAATGCATCAAAAGAATCGATAACGAATCGTTCCCTCGACGGGTACACAAACGCTGAAAACTTAGAAGATACATTAGACGCAGAGAATCTCACAAGATTAAATTCTTCAGTAAATTCAGATGAAATTTTCTGTGGAAACCTAATAAGAACTAGTACACAAACAGCAGATAATATACAAGAGCAAGATACCTTACCAGTTACGGACTCAGTATTTGGAAGTTTACCTTTGAGCCAAGATAGTCAAAGTACAAGTGAATATCATGTGAAAACTCCAAATCCGGAGTCGCTAAATTCTGTTCATCCAATATATCCGACGTTGATATTGTGTCACGAATCTATAAGCTCTATCGTCCAACACTTGACTAATCCTCTTTGGGTACGACATTTGACCGCATATTTTGCAAGTAGAAATATTGTAACTGTTGGTGACCTTGCACGATTATCTGAGCGTGAAATAAATAGGATTCCCGTAAAGGGTTCTTCAAAAATTGAATTAGTAAAAAATGTTTTGAAATCTTTCGAGAAAACTTACGTTGCAAAAGAAACGAGAAAAAACGTAGAAAATTCTAACGTTTCCCCTTCTGTAAATATTAATACACCACCTGTATCTATAGAGAATGTAGTGCCGCAAAATCAGTCGCAGGCAATTCCTGAGTCAATACAAAATAAGTTTATAGATCAATTTAGCCAACCAGGTTCTTGTAAGGTTTCTAGCAGTCCTATTATTACTGACAAGAAAACATCTGAAATATCTAAGAAAATGTCAGAATCCATTTTAGATGAATCTTTGAACGTACCTGCAATAGATGTTTCTTCAATATATTCGCAGGTTTCGTACAAATCTGTCCTGGGAGGAAAATCGTCGTCTGTTTCTGTCTCAGCTCAAAATTCATCACATGTGGTAGCCAAGTATGTTATAAGTATCCTACTTCACTTTTGCTGAAACATTCTTGTTCGCTTAACATGACTTCTCTTTTGGTTTCTCAGTGTTATGTTATTTGTTCTAATGATGTATACGTAGATCATGTTAAGGGAATCTTTTTGTATTCAATATAACTACACATTAATAAAATGTTATTTTTGTCTAGGCCAATGATAACTTTGCCAATATCATCTGTGGTATCAGCTGTTGCATTGGAACCTTTGGGAAATCTTAGTTTTGCTGCTACAAGTGGAGCCTCTGTAGGGTCTTCTGCGAAACCTACTGAAACTTGTACTGCTAACAATTCCGTTTGTTCACACAAACCAGAAGTACAAAAAACCACAAGATCTGTCGCAGCACAAATGGCTTTGGAAGATCTTTTGGATGAGATAGATGTTAACTTGGTATTGGAAAGCGCAGTCAGAAGATGTACCCCAGAAAGAATTCTTCTGCAATACAAAGTAAGTGCATTCAATTTTGTACGTAATACATTTTATTGTCAGTGAAAACGCTAGTGAAAAGAAATACAATTTTTGCTTTAGAACAAAATGAAACATATACCGCAAATAGAATTGGAAAAAGAGACCATAAGAATGCTTGGCGCCGAGAATGTAAAGAATTGTACCGAAGTGACATTGAAGGCGGCGTGTCGTGCATGTGGAGTGAATAAAGTTTTGCTTCGACTACCTGACATTTTTAGTAGTGATAAACAGTTCTTTATCAAAGTATTAAACGCTTACAAAAAGAAGATACAAGTCAGTGATTGTTTGGACATTCTTGATTTTGCTGAGGTCAAAGATGCAATTTGTAAAAAATGTACATCTTCTGAACTTGCTGAAATGTTATCGAAAAAGCTAAAGGATGAAGAACAGGAGGGCATAAGAGAACCTATGACAGAGTTGTCCAGCCTGAACGCTATGCTAAAAAGAATGCCAATGGATCTAATCATCAGTCATACGGTGGCGAACGAAGAACTTATCCCATCGCGTGTTGTTTTAGACATAGCTCTGCAAAATAACAGCACAAATGATATAGCACAGGCTTTGGAATGTCAATCTTCTCTTGTTACAAAGGATGTTTTTGAAAAACTGTGGTCTTCCCAATTTGCTATTAAGCATATTGAACAATTGAACTCTAAACAGGATTTATTGAAGCTGTTCAAAGCAATTAGTTTGAAACTTAGCCAGCAAGATCTTTTGCAAGCGTTCTATGAATCCATGAGCGCTAAGGTAATGATAAACCAAGAGAAAATTTAAAGGTGAAATAATTGTTTATTGATTCATTTATAATTTGCATGTATAATATTTATTATTAATATTATTTGTGACCATATATCGGTTTTCACCAATAGACTCAATATTAATACCGTGACTTTTTTCATATTTATAAATAAACTTTCGCAAAAATTTCGTTAATAGTATTGCATTATGAATATTTGTTTGCACACTTAGCATATTGTACGTATTTATTAAAAGAGTAATTGTTTTCTTTTTCTTTGTGACTTCGGATTTCTATTGTCTAGTTGTTATTTCATTATCTTACATCTGAGTTATAACCATTGTGAAACAATTTCAACTCCTGCTATTTAAGTATTCTAAAGCTTTCACTTTCAAAAGAAACAAATTTTTAATTATACGATAAAATTGAATTCTTCAAACAACAGTTAACTAAGAATACAAACATACATCATTTCTTCTTTTTTCTTAAAGAAGATTAAACGCTAATATGTTTCACTGACTTATTTGTTACATACTGAAATAAAATTTTCTTATTTCAGTTGAAGTTATCTGACAATTCAAAATAACATTGTTAACTTTAAATAGATTAAGCACACAATGTTCATAGGTAATTCCTAGACATACACCATTGTAAATATTATATAAGTATATTACTCATAATAGCAGTTGTCAAAGGATACCAATAATCAACATTTTATGTATTAGTTACTGTATCTTTGTTCCGTTTGAATTAGATATCGCAATAGAAAATCAAATGTAAAGACTCATCGTTTGATATTTGTTTCTGTACCAATTGGTAACTACTGTTTCTAATATTTGTTTTCATGAGAAGGCTTCTTCCGATTGAAAAGAAAAGGTTGAGAAAACATTTTCGTTCCTTCGTTTGTAAGCAACTTCTTGGAAGTATTTCTTTGCACAGACTAGTGGCCTATAAGTTAGAAATTTAAGTGTATATATATAAAAGATTAAAAAAAAAAGAAATATTTCGTACACAATTTTTTCTAGACACAAGTTTATTACAACTTGTCATTGAATATTTTAGAATCTAATGTTAAAGTATAAATGAGATAATTATAGTGTATTTTCAACTGTGACTCGACCAAATGTTAGAGAGAATTAAGTTCGCATCATTCAAAGAAATTTTGTAAAATGTACAAAGTTTAAAGGTTAAGCCTATTAGGCATATTACTGATGTATTAAAAGTATTTTATACAATGGATTCCACGGAATCTCTTATTGTTAAATACATCAAAATTTCGATCAATTGTGATAAAACCGAAATTTCATTAAGATATTCTGTTACGTACGAGATGTTTTTGGAAAAGCGTAACATCTCAATGTTATAAATTGTTAATTGTCATGGACAGAACTTTTGTTTTTAGCAGTTTCAGAGCACTATAATTGGCAAATAAATTGCTCACAGAATTGTTTATATTCATCTGTGCGTAACAAATTTATTTGCTACAAAGTTTTTAATCATCTAACTGTTTTTGTGTTGAGGTGTTACGCAGTTAAAAATTATTATTCAGACACTACAAATTTTCACATTATGTCGCTCTAACAAGTTATATACGTATTATAACTTCTTTTTTTTATACAGTATGTTATATGTTCTATAATAGAAAAAAAGAAATGTTAAATGTACTGTAATCAAATACACTATAAAACCCGTGAAGATTACAAATGACATTGTTTTATTGTCGATCGTGATGAACGATAAATTTTAATTATTAGATTTAATCACTTTTATGACTTTCTCAATGTAATATAACGATATACATATACATATATTAATCGCAACAGTCGCATATTGAAATCGGTGGTGAGACGTAAGAGTGCCTCGAACGAACAAATAATTTTGCATTTTTAGAAGTTCAGGATATATTCCCAGGGCTGGTGTGAGATAGATTTTAGAACGTTACAAATAATCTAAATAATTGCTTTAAAATGCTGAATAATTCATAAAAAGTTCATTATAAATTTAATGGGACTATACATAAATTGTATCATATGTTGTGGAACTTACAGAATTTGTAAGTGATTGAGTTTCAAATGTAAGCTTTAAACATTTAGAGTTGCAAGTACTGTAATATAAGTTTAAAGTATTCTAAATTTTTAGGCATTCCAAGTTTGAAGCATTGCAAGCTTAAAAATATTTCAAAATTGATACAATTTGAACTTGAAGCATTCTAAACTTGAAGCGATTCAAACTTGTAGCATTTCAAATTTGATGCATTGCATATTTAAGTTTCCTAAACTTTGCATTCTAAATTTGAAATGTTTCAAACTTGATTTGTTCTAAATTTGAAGCATTCCAAACTAGACAGGTTCTAAACCTAAAATGTTGCAAATTTGAATCATCTCAAACTTTGAATGTTCTAATGTTGAAATGTGTCTTTTGTCTCTTTACAATTTTGGTATCGTGTTCCCAAAATATTCGTACCAGCCCTGCTTATTCCGCTCCTATTTAACAACGAGCTGAAAGTAAATTACTCTAATAGCAAAAGTATTAACAAATCAAATTGATTTGACAATTTTGTTCATAATTACTCTTAGGTATGTCTCACAAATTATCAATGCTTAAGCCATTTGCTCCTTTGATATTTCTATATGCTTTTCGAACCCATTTATATACTGCTTCGTATCCTCCACTTTTATTAGTCACACATGTTTCGCAAAATGTATTATAAGAAATAAAGAAGCCATTTATTTAATGATAAATGATATTTTCATTGATGTATTTTTACGACAGGTCGATTCGTACAATACTCGACGATCTTTGAGTATCGTTATGATGTTTGTTATCGTGACATCTTTTTGTTTCAGTTAAAAATTCGTTAAAAATCTCGTTATACATAACTGTACATTTGTACACGAACAATTTTTAGTTTAAAATGTTTAATAGCTCACATGTTCTGTTCAGTGTTACACATAGTATAATAATGACAAACTATTTACAATAGACTGTAAATGTATCCGGTGTGTGACTATAATAAATCGATGACAAATCGATGTTACTATAGGCTAACAAAATACAATAAATACCTTTTATAGCTATTTTGTGTGTTTTATTTATTCTTCCATGACACTTTTTGGGGAGGAAATAAGTTATTTTCAAGTTTTAGGTAAGTTGTGTTTAAAAAGAATATTATTTTTAATTTGCAAATTTAGAAATCTAGAAATATTGGAATACCAAACTTAAAAGTTTAGAAAGTTAGAAATTTGGAAATTAGATAACTTGGAAGAGTGATAACATCAAAATTTATTTCGGTACTTTTAAAATTTCAAAGTTTAGAAATTTAGGAATGTAGAAATATGAATTATATGAACTTTGGAGATTTATAAATCGAAGATATACCATTCCATTCATTTTTTCCCCTCCATATAAAAATAGTCACGCACGCAACTTACTCGAGGTATTACGCTTATTGGATCGAAATCAGAGATACGCTTTCAATTATATTCGACATTGTATATTCCCAACGCGACTTGTATCAAAATACGACTCTGGCTGTACGACGTTAGGGATTTGCGCGATATCCTGGTTCTTATAGCACGTGTAATCGATACACGAAATTCAAAGCATTACGTATTTATCATAAAAGTCCCATTTTTTACTATTATATATCATCTAAAAGAAGTTTTTAATTGTTTTACATATATACCGTTGAAATTTGATATTCTCCAAATGTTCTACGCTGCCTAATCATTTTAATAAATTTAACATAACATAATAAATAAAATGAGATGCAGAATTTTTAAGGCAATAATATTTACTATAAAATGATTTAATATTTTATACTTGTTTACTGTAATTGTTAAAATATTTACAATTTTAAATCTCCATTATGTAATTATGTCAATGTAAATATATGTGATATATGCTCAATATGCAAACGTCAGGGAAAAATTATGATAATGAGTTGTGTTAGTCAGGTTTCGACTAATGTTAGTTTGAATACATAGAGGTGCAGACGGAAGTAGGGAAATTATTTCCAAATTTTAGAATTGGTCATTTAGGAAAATGGATACTTTTTACTTTTGCAAATATAAAAAATCTAAAAATCTAAAAATCTAAAAATCTAGAAAATCTAGAAAATCCAGAAAATTCTGAAAATTCAAAAAGTCCAGAATATCTAGGAATCTAAAAAATCTAAACAAACCAGAAAATTCAGAAAATCTGAAAAATTAAAAAATCTACAAATCTGAAAATATAGAAATATTAAACCTTAAAAATTTTTAAGTTCAGTAATTCAAAAATAAAGAAACTTCAAATTATCAAATAGAAATGATATAACTATCCATTTTTATGCACAATTTACTAAAAATTTAATTTATCACAACACATAATAATTTTTTTTATGAAATCTTTATATGGAATTGTTATACAATTCAAGGAAAGCAATTTAATTACTATTTTAATTATGGCTTTGCTTACAAAGAGAGTGTCGTTAAGCGATCAAGAGGAGCTTTAATACTTATAATGAAAGGACTCGTCCCATTGAAAACTTTTCTTGCCGATTAACGATTTTTTAATACATTGAGGTATGTATATATCGATACACGTTATTGAAAATGATTATCGATAACGTCGTCCAATAAAGTAATAAATGTAGGTAAATTAATAAAATATAAAAAATAATTGAAAAAGTGTACGGTGAATGAATCTGTTAAAAATAAAGGATAGGAATTAAAAAAAATCTGAAACAAAATGTTTGGAACAATCTACGCGTTTATTTGTGTGTTGAATTGATCCACGTTTTTTTTGCGTACGTCAATATCGTAGGAGGAGCATTTTTTCACAAATTCTCGACATTGATACGTATTTTTTCGATTTTTAAATATTCGGCACAGTTTCATGTATTTTATTCTTTCGAGTGTGTAGATTATAGTACATATACTTATATTATATTTAATTAACATTGTATTTTAATTTTTTTTTTTGCAAAACAATTTAATTAACAATTGCATGTATAATTAAACATTGTATATCAGTTTTTAATTAGGAAATTATTTGATTAATAGTTTTTAATTACAACATTACTTAATTAATAATTATTAATTGAAAATTATAAAATTAATACAATTTCAGTTTTTTATTATTTCATTAACAATTACATTTCAATTATCCAATTAATAATTACATTATAATTCTTTAGTCTGTAATTCTTTACTAACCATTTAATTAATAATAATATTTGAAGTTCTAATTATAGTTATTCAATTAACAGTTACATTTCAATTTTCAATAATTCAATAACTTATTCAATAATAATATGTTAATTCTCAATCATAATATCACTTAATTAGTAATTAATTACGGACTAATTACAAATTATAATTAAATTATAAATTAATGATACAACTATAAATCACAAAATTCTAGTAAGAATTAAATGAAGTGTCATACATTTTCATACATTAGTGCACATTTAACATTTCCATTTTATGATGTATAGTTTATATAAATCAATAGTATCAAATTAGTAATATTATTAATGAGTTATTGGCTTAAAATAATAATCAATATTATTGCAATAGATAATAAAAATGATACATGCAAATGAATAGTAAGAAATCAATAAAATTATTACTGAATTATTGAGTTAAAATAATTATTAATATTATTGCAATAAATAATAAAACTGATACATACAAATCAATAATATTATTACTGAGTTATTGAGTGAAAATGATAATCAATATTATTACAGTCCATAATAATAATAATTCATACAAATCAATAATAACAACAATAATAAATCACACAAAAGAAAAAATGTTTCCTATTTCCCTCCTATCACAAAAAGGGAAGACACAAATCATTCAGTACAAAATTTCCAAACACCTCGATACAAATATAGCCACAAAATCCATGGAACAAAACATTAAAGGATATTCTTGCAGCAAACCATACACTTCACCGAGTCTAAAATAAAGTCACAGGAGGTCTTTGTCCTCGATTCAATTACCAAGTGTCGCCAACAATGGCGACGCGGCTACAATGTCCGCTTCTTCGAAGAGGGACAAGCGAATCGATGAGTTCTATCCTTTCTCCGCAACAGAAAAAAGAAAAACCAAAAATAGAGAAGTCAAAAGTGCCAATAAAGCTTCCGTGAATGAAAAACGAGGATCCGAAGACCAGCCACTCAGTAGACACGCAATAATCCACGGCATATTAACCGAGTCTCGGTTTAAAATCGTATCTCCATTCCGGATGGACGTTCGTTTCTTCTTTTTGCCTGTTCTTCCGGAAGGACGCGATGCGCCGAGGACACACATGCATATTGCAGAGTTTTCGCCAATGCCGCCATTGCGCTATGGTGTGCGTGCGATCCAAATTTGACTTCCTTGAAAAGAAAAGTATCAACTTCAAAATGGACGAAAGAGTGAAAATAAAAATTATGATTTTGATATTTTTTTTTTTTAGTTACCTTTTATTTTTTTTTTTTTTTCTTTCAGTGTCTTCCATTAACGATTTTTATGGATTTCTGAAAAAAGAAACAAAATATTAAATGATGTGTAAAATATTTAAATATAATACTTAAGATATAGGTTATATGGTTTGGTGATATGGTGATCTAGGAATTTTTTTGCATCTGAAGATTTTGGGTCAGTAGACTTAGGAATTTAGATATTTAGAAATCTAGGAATTTGGAGATTTCTGAATTTGGAAATAGAATTTAAAAAATTTGTAAAATTGAGACATGGAAGATTTTGAAATCTGAGAAATTAAAAAATTGAAAAATTGATAAATTGAGAATTTTTTAATTTAAAAAACTGAGAAATTGAGTATTTTAAAAACTTTTAAATTAAGAATTTTGTAATTTGAAAAAGTGAAAATTTGCAAATTTAGAAATCTGGTAATATGAAAATTAGAAAATTTATAAATTCAAGAATCTGATAATTTGAAAATTAGAAAATTTGCAAATTCAAGAATTAAAAAATTGCAAATTCATCAGTTCAACAATTTACAAACCTAAGAATGTATGACTTCGAAAATATAAAATTTTGAAAATTAGATAATTGTCAAATTTACGGATGTGTCATCATAAGGAAGTCAACGTTGCACCCGAATGTATAATGTGTAGCGGGTCTATGGGGGTTGGAACGCCTGCGCGAAATCAGACGCATGCTATATAAGGAAGCGGACGCGTTCGAAAGCGGTACTCAGGTTTGGAGAAACGTATCGTAAGGACACTGTGATACGTTCGCGAAATGGGCCTGATCAAAAGCCAACTCGTCACTATTCTTCTTTACGTCCTCGTCGTTAACGAGATTCGTCTTCCTCTGGTGAGTTGTTACATTTTTTTTTATTAACACAATCTTCTGTTTTCTTTTTTTTCTGCAAATGAAAAAAATTATTATAATTAATCTAGAATGTATTTGTTTGAATTGGTGTGATTAGTGATGCCAAGTTTAGTGTTCTTTGTTTAACAATACTTTTAAATGGAATGATGTTTGACTTTAAATAAATTATTTAAACTATTTAGTTTTTTTATTCTTTTTTATTTGAATTTTTGTTAGGAAATTTATTAAATAGATTTATTTATATTCATCTGTAATGTATGTTATATGCAGTATGTACAATAGTATATATTATTGTGTATTTATATACAATATACACAATTATATATACAATAATAAATTTAATTGTTTATATACATACAATATATACTATTATATACAATAGTAAATATGATTATGTATATAATACAATATACACAATTATGTATGTTTATACAATAACATATACAACAGCATGTAAAATTATTTGTGTACCTTATAGACAAAGATACATATTTAATTAGATATACAATTGTACATACAATTATCTATACAGTTATATATATAATTATACTTAATCTACCAGATGAATATAAATAAACATTATAAGTTTCCTAATAAAATAACTATACAATAATTTATTAAAACCATTATTCATTTAAAAGATTGGTAAATAAAGAACACTAAATTTTGCATTATTAGTAACAAACTAAATTGTGCATCTAATATTTTATCTACTATCTTTGTGCTAAATAAGGTTATCTTCAAAA